ACCATATTCATCCTGTTTTGAGAAAACCTTGGTTTTTGAAAATTTTCCCTTCTAGGTATTCTAGAATTATTTTGTCTATTTGAAAAATTATTTTTATGCATAGAATCATGTTGAAAACTTTTCCTAGGTTGTCTATCATGCGCATTTTCATTCCTAGGTTTTTGTCTAGGTTGTCTAGTGTCTCTAGGTTGACTAGGTTTTCTATTATCCTGATTTTTAACTTTCTTATGTTGAGCCTTAAGAGGTTTTCTAGGTGTTTGCTCAACGTTTTTATCCTTAGATTCATTTTTATCAAAACATATTCCTTCCTTAGAAAAATGCATAGTGTCTAGAAGTAAATTAAGATCTTTGTGTGGTGTATTAAACTTCTTAACCGTACTCTCAAGTTTTGCAACTTTTTCTTTTAAAGTTTTGCAAGATTCACAATCACTTGAAGAACTTTCTGGTTTGTCAGCACTTCTCTTACCATAAAATTTATTTTCTTGTTTCAACCTTTCATTATCTTTTTCTAATTTGTCAAAATCATTTTCAAGAGTTGAAAGGCGTTTCTTTAAAGATTTGTTGGTTTTAGAAGCGCTAACAAATTCATCATAAAGCTCATGAAGTGCTTCTTGCATTTCTTCATAAGTATAAGAGTCGGAAGAAATGGTACATACCTCTTGAACGTTGTCGGTTTGATCTTCGTGCGCCATGAGGCAGAGGTTGGCGGCTTCCTCCTCTTCCTGATCCGTTGACTCATCCTCGGAGTCGCCTCCCCAAGAAATATAGGCGCATTAGTTTTTTGAAGCTAGGTTTGTCCTTGCCGCCTTTGCTTTTTGGACACCTCGGCTTGATGTGGCCTATCTCACCACAACCATAGCACTTTGGGGGCCCGTCGTGCTTTCTTCCTTTTCTTTCAAATTCTTTCTTCATGAATTTGTGGAACTTCTTGATGACGAGTCCGAACTCGTTGTCATCATCGCTTGAGTCATCTTCCACGGACTCCTTGGTTGCTTTCAGCGCTATACCCTTCTTCTTTTGTTCATCCAAAGACGGGGTTAGGATAGTAGATTCATAAGTTTTGAGATTACCTCTTAGCCCGTCGATGGTGACATTTGAGACTCCGATGGATTCATA